GATATTCGAAAGAAGTGACAGCTGATTAAATTACTTTAGGTTATTAACGTATTTTGCTTTTGAGACATACGAATTATTTTAGTATGTATAGTTTGTTGTGTTTCTAGAATCTTCTTGGAAGAGAATAAAGGTTAAGTGAGTAAGATACACACAACGCGTTTCTATTCACTAAAGTGGTGACCACGAATTTTCCACGAAATTGATGTCGAAATACAATTTGTGATCACTAAAATCAGACGGCGACGAGCCAATTGACGAAGCGGAGAACTTTTTCGACAGTCACAGTTCCGAGATGGAGTCAAACGATGTAAAAACACAGTTAGAAATTATGCAAAACGAATTGCATCAGTTAAGCATCGCTTATGCGCAACAAGCAAACTCCGCTCTAATGTGCAACGAGTTCATGTACCAAAATTCAACAAGCTTAATCCGCAGATATGGTTTACAAAATTGGAGCGTTCATTCAGACTTAGCAGTATAACAGATGATGTTGACATGTTTTAATTGGTTACAATCAACTTGGATGAAGACATCATACTTGGTATTGAGGATTTGGTCGCACGGCCGCCGCAGCAAAACAGATATGCAGCTCTTAAATCACGTTTGCTTGATAAATACTCGGAGTCGCCTGAAAGCAAAATGAAACGTTTGCTCCAGGGGGGTGAAACTTCAGGCATGAAGCCAACTGACATTCTGGCGTATATGAAGCGTTTAGCGCCGGATCCGGGTTGTGAAGCAGTAATACGCAGTCTTTTTATGAATCAAATGCCCTCAACGATTCGTCCACTGTTATCTGTTTGGCAAGAAAGTGATTTAGACAAATTGGCGAAAGTTGCTGACAAAAGGCTAGAATCAGCTAAAACAAATTCGGTTTTTGCAGTATCAGACTTGCAGCAAGATGTTAAATTAGCAGTATCCGATTCTGTAGAAGCGCTATCCCACGCAACGACTGGTAGTGTCAAAGAAATGATGCAAGTGATCCTCGAGAATGTTAGTAAATTACAAACTGATGTTAAAAATCTAAAAGAGTCGGCAAGACAGTCGCGTTAACCATCGCGCACTCCTAAACGGAGCACTCGGGTTGAGAGCGCACAAGACGGATTATGTTATTTTCATAAAAAGTTTGGCGCTGGGGCACGAAAGTGTCGTGCAGGTTGTAGCAACTGGCGGGAGCCAAAATAAAACGACTGTCGTCTAATTCGCTGGTTGGCGGCAGCCCGACGCATAATAGCAGCACATACAATCATTCAGAAGCAGATTGGACAGAATTGCTGCCAACGGTTTTACTTGGGCTTAGGACGTGTTACAAATTAGACATTGACGCATCGGCAGCTGATCTACTCTACGGCGGGCATATTCGATTACCAAATGAATTCTATGACGATTTGGATAAACCAATCAATCCTCAAGATTTCGCCAAGAAATTTCGAGACTACATGCGAATGGTACGGCCGGTTCCAACAGCGCATCACGTCAAGAAGAGTATGTTCATTTACAAACATTTAACAGATTTCTGTTGTTGTTGTAGCAGCATACAAATTCCCCAAAGACTTTTTGGGGAGTGTTGCTGGAGTGACAGTCCTTGGCCAGATATAAATCTGGGTCGTTCCGGTTACGTAGACCCGACTGTCGTGGGAACGCATGTTTTGCTAAGAACTGACGCAGTGCGGCAGCCTCTGGAGCCGCCTTATTTGGGACCGTACGAGATGGTTGAGCGTTCAAATGATAGAGTACATCATCAACATAAATGGAAGAAAGGTTGCGGTCTCAACGGAGCGTCTTAAACCAGCATTTTTCATAAAAGACTGCCCTGAATCGGAGGCTGCAACCACAGTAAAGACATATCAAAGGAATAAAAAAGTAAGATTCGCTCTCGGTTTGGTCACTGGGAAGGGGGTAGATGTGGCAACCTCTGGTGCCATCTATCCGTGATGACAAGGAAAATATCCTCAAATGCAACCATGGGTGTTGAGGGATATTCGAAAGAAGTGACAGCTGATTAAATTACTTTAGGTTATTAACGTATTTTGCTTTTGAGACATACGAATTATTTTAGTATGTATAGTTTGTTGTGTTTCTAGAATCTTCTTGGAAGAGAATAAAGGTTTAGTGAGTAAGATACACACAACGCGTTTCTATTCACTAAAGAAGTTAAAAATATGCACTGCATACGCTACAGCGGAAATGGACGACACGCCATTTCTTTAAATGAAATTAATTGCTGCTATATGTATGTATGTACCAGGGTTGTTGCGAATATTCGCATTCGCAACCCCGGAGCTTCCGCATTAATTTTAACATTCGCATTCGCTTTCGCATTCGCAATAATCAATGCGGATCTTTGGCGAATGCGAATATTAAAGGGGCCGAAAGTAACAGTTATTTTCTTTACGAGTTAAACCTGGCCAAATATTTTTTATTCCCAACTAAAAGTCCTTTCCGGATAATAAACACGCTTATCAAAATTAAACAAGTTTGGTATCAAATGAAAGAGGACTTAAATAGCTTTAAAACTGAAATGTCTAAACAAGCAAAGTCTCCTATTTAAAAATATTTGTTTAATTTAATTTAATTTGTTAATATAAAATAAGGCAAATGAAAGCCAATGAAATTCTCCATAAACCGTATATGCATCACTTTCCGATAGGGTTTATAGTTGCTGACAAATTAATTAATCATTCCAGCTTTTATTTATTTTTTAATGAAAAAATTAAAAAAAATCAAACTTTAACAGAAGAAAAATTTAAAAAATAAAATAATAAAATAATCATAAACGTCTGAGATATAGCGAGTTTAAATGAAAATTGCGCAAAAATTGGCCGCTATCAAGTTTTGCGGCTTTTCGGCATGAAGGCGTGAAAGCAAAAAATCGCCATGGGACGATATGCGCAGCGAGAGGCAATCACCCCTATTACGGTTGTCAATATCATGTCAATATTGTCAAAAATAGTGTCGATGCCTCCGAATTGGTATTGCCGTCATCAAAGTCGATAACTGTTGACAGCTGTTGATACTATTTTGGTATTGACGACAACAATATTGATATTCTGTTGACGGGTGTCAACATAAAACTTGTCAATACAGTTTTTGGTGACGACAAGCGCTAAATTAAATATTCTGCTGTAAAAATTTGGTATAATAATTCTGAATTATACCTTTTTACACACTTTATTTGTTTAGTTCTTATTTAATTTAGAAAAATGGAAAGAAAAATGAAAATAACAAACAACAATCAATTTGCGCAGCTTGTTTTAGAACTAGAAAAAAATCCTGCGCTTGCTAAAGGCTTTTCCAAAGGGACAGTTCCCAATAATTTTAAGTCGCAATGGCAGGATATTGCAAGTGCAATCAATGCTCTCGGTCCACCACTCAGGGATGGTGAGGGTTGGCAAAAGGTAAAAAACAACTTATTTTTAAACTTATATGGTTTAACTTTTTGTGAATTTAAAGGTTTGGAGGGATCTGAAATGCAAGGTTAAAAGAAAGCACTTGCACAACAAGCAGGACTGCCGTGCCACAGGAGGAGGAAGCTACAAGCAATTGGTGCTGAGCCCATTGGAGGAGCAGGTTGCCAACCTTCTTCAATTCGGCAAGCAATTTAACCCGAAAGGAATGGCTCAAGGTGTTCCCAAAAGTGGAAGTTGCATGAGTGTTGAAGAAGTGCTACAAGAAGTGCTACGAGAAGATGCAGAATGCAGATTTACCTCCTCATACTAGCAGGAGAAGTCGTGTTCGCGCAAATAGACAGCGGCAGAATTTGTTGCAAAACCACACTGAAATGCAAGAGGGTGTGCTGACACGAATGTCGACAACCCTTCGGTAATTGGGAACAATATAAATTCAATGGAGAACATTCAGTATGACTCATTTGATAAGCTCTTAGAAATAGAGCGAAAAAAACTAAAGCTAATGCAAAGGCAGGATGAAAGAGAAGAGAATCTGTACCAAACAGAAATGAGACTAAAAAAGATTAAACTAGAAATAAAAGAGGCTGAACTAGAAATATTAACAATTAGGAAAAATAAGAAAGCTGACTAACAGATATATATACAGTTTTATATTGAATTTATTTATGTTTTATATTGAATTAATTTTTTTTTTTTTGATTTGAATTGAACTAGTCGGTCAATGAAGACCTCAGAGAGACTGAATTTAGTTTATAGTNAAAAGAGGCTGAACTAGAAATATTAACAATTAGGAAAAATAAGAAAGCTGACTAACAGATATATATACAGTTTTATATTGAATTTATTTATGTTTTATATTGAATTAATTTTTTTTTTTTTTGATTTGAATTGAGCTTGTCGGTCAATGAAGACCTCAGAGAGACTGAATTTAGTTTATAGANGCAGATTTACCTCCTCATACTAGCAGGAGAAGTCGTGTTCGCGCAAATAGACAGCGGCAGAATTTGTTGCAAAACCACACTGAAATGCAAGAGGGTGTGCTGACACGAATGTCGACAACCCTTGCGGAAATTGGGAACAATATAAATTCAATGGAGAACATTCAGTATGACTCTTTTGATAGAAATAGAGCGAAAAAAACTAAAGCTAATGCAAAGGCAGGATGAAAGAGAAGAGAATCTGTACCAAACAGAAATGAGACTAAAAAAGATTAAACTAGAAATAAAAGAGGCTGAACTAGAAATATTAACAATTAGGAAAAATAAGAAAGCTGACTAACAGATATATATACAGTTTTATATTGAATTTATTTATGTTTTATATTGAATTAATTTTTTTTTTTTTGATTTGAATTGAACTAGTCGGTCAATGAAGACCTCAGAGAGACTGAATTTAGTTTATAGTTTATAAGTTTTTTTCATACAAACTTTGTACCTATTGTCCCGAGGACTACAAACATCAATGCTATGAAAGCAGTGTTTAAAGATGAATTTTTTAAAAATAGAATAAAAATTTTTTGTTTTATGCACAAAATACTGAAGTATTTTATATTTTTTAATAAAAACAACCAAAAACGAATTACAAAAAGCTTTCTTTAATTTGTTGCCATATTTACGTAGCTTCCATGTTTTGCAAGTCGTCAGATACATCAATTTCAAACCCATCTTGAACATTTTCAGCTTCGGATGATGAATCGTAGCTTGATGACTCTACATTAAAGTCAATACAAAGATTATGTAAGGCAGCACAAACGTTTGCGATTTGCATTGCTTTTTCCGACTTATAATGTAGCTGACGAGCTCCGAGTAAGCAGCGAAATCGGTTTTTGAAGACTCCAATGGTTCTCTCTATTATGTTTCTAGTTTTTGCGTGCTTGGTGTTAAAAATGGATTCAGCGCTTCCTTCTGAAGTTGATCTATAGGGCGTCATTAAATACGGTTCCAGAGGGTAGCCTGCATCGCCTGTAAATGTTTGTTTGGTTTTGGTTAACTTCAATATAAACATATCATGCTTTTTTTTTACCTAATAGCCAAGCGTTGCGCACTCCAGAATCGTACCGCTCACGTAACACCTGTTTTGCAGAACTAATGTTCCATATCAGGGAGTCGTGGGATGAGCCTGCATATCGCGCATCGAAGTACCTTATTTTCATTTTATGATCACAAATCTATAAGTAAAATTTATCAAAACCAATTAAATCAACTAGTGGCAAAATTTCTACTTACAATTATTGCATTTAAGCTGAAAAACCCTTTTCTGTTAAAATACAGATTTTGGTCCAACTTAGTGGGCGCCGAAATTTTAATATGCGTTCCATCCACACAACCTATTACGCCGGGGAACCCTGCCTTTTGGAAGAAATGCATTATCACTTCTGTCTGCTCCTCCTCGGACATTTCGAATCTTATAAGCAGGGGGCATATTACCTGCTCCAGAGCTTCAAGTCTTTCAGCCAATATTGCGGACACGGTGGGTTGAGATAAGGCCAATTTGAAATCATTTCCAACACCAACTTGGTATGAGCCTTGTGCCAAAAACCGTAGCGTAGTTGCCAACTTTATTTCATTAGAAATAATTGTTGGTCGTTTCCCTACTTTCATCGATGGTACTATTTTCTCCAGAACGTATTTAAAAGCATCTTTACTTAACCGAAAATAATCAACAAATCTGAAATAAATTACACATAAACATGAAAGGTGGTTGATACAATTTAGCAAACATCTAACAATTCGATTATATTTTCCATTAGTACACACCGCTCTAGGATGTAGAGGAGTCGTTGTTGGTGTACTAATGGGAAATTTAATCATCCACTAATATCTGAGATCTGTGAAATAATACATATTTATGTGCATATATTGTGTTGATTATGCTCCAAATCGCTAAATAATCCTTTCAGCAATCAGCACCAATGGAAATTTTTGGAAAGTAGAAATTAAATTTATTCAATTATTAATAAAAGAATTTGGAGACAAACGTACAATTGGGGCGATGTTTTCCGCATCCGAAAACGAATGTTTGTTTGATGATTTAGGTTATTGGCCTGGCGTCTAATGAAACATTATCGTCATGGTTAATGTTCAATCTCCTTTTTTATTAACTAAATCGGTTTCTTAAACAAATTTCTATTCAAATATTTTTCTTTTTCGTTTTTCAATTTACTCCACCGCATGGCCGAGAAGCCATTTTGAGACAGAAAATAAGTATATAAAATAATTCAAAAATAAGCGATTGCTTTTTCTTAAAATTTCAGACCTTTTATTTAGATTTGATTGAACAAATCGAATAAAAGGTCTGAAATTTTAATAAAAAGCAATTGCTTATTTATTGTCGAACAAAACGTCTGAAATTTTAAGAAAAGGCAATTGCTTATTTATTATTCCTAAGGCTCATTGTTGTGTTCTGCAGATTTTTTTAAAGCTTTGAAAATCTTCAAAAATATGTGATACATTTTTAAAATGAAAATATTTCCACTGTCCAAATTAAAGTGAAATTAAAAAATGTATTTTTATAAAACAAAAATTGAATCTATAGTAACATTTTGCGCATATGTAATTGTTACCATTTCAACAGTTAAATAAAATGTCTAATGTATGTTGTTAAGAATCAAAAGGCTCTATTACCTTGTTTATACCGACACATAAGGCGCTTTGACCCAGTTCACTGTGATTCAAAACGGATGCATAAACTGAATTTCAAAACGCGTTGAAATTGAAAAGTGTGTTGACTTCAATTTGGTTTCAATTCGGTTTTTTGTTCCTCACATCAGTTAGAAAACAAGTATAAACGCATCACTCAATTGAAGTGAAGTGACAATAGGCTGGTTTTCTTTATACAGCCCGTTTTAAATTCGAATTATTGTTATAATAAATTACAATTATTATTTGTTTCCATTTCGGTCAACCGCGCAAATTATTTATTAAAAAAAATAAAGACAGGGGTATAAATGCTGTAAAAAAATATATGTTGAGTTCAATCGGTTTTTTGCTAATGCGGTTCTTGTATAGGTATAAACAAGGTATATGAAAAAAATTACTTCTCCATGAAAAAATATCGTTATTTTCGTATTTAAAATTAATCGGAATTTTATGGGGGGTTATAAAAACTCGTTTTAATTGATACTTTGTTTTTTCGGTTATATTTGTTATTATTTATTGGCCCAGATGTAAATATTGAATGAACTAACATATTTTAAATATTTACGGAACTAACATTTGTATGCAACCCTGCCTATCTTATATTCAAGTAGATGTAATTCGAAAAATTTAAACGGATTTCTCCAAATCAACCTGAGCTGCGGACATATTGCGAATTCATTTTTAAACATTAACCACTACATTATATTAGTATTAAATACTTTCAATCAAGAAACAATACTTATTAGAAAATAAATATGAATCGTTTTATTTTAAATATTCCAATTTAGCGTTTTTGTTAATGCAGATAGTGCGGATTTAACGTATTTTATAACCTTTACAAGGTTATACCAATATTAGGTATATTATGCAAATGCAATCCAATTTGATTTGAGTTATTCAGTTTTAGATACATTTATATTTCTGTGTTCGTTTGGAATAGTAGATTATGTCGGAAAGCTGGCTTTAGAAAAACCCGGCATTCCCTTTATTATTTACAACACAAGGAATTTATCGATGACCCTTAACAAGAAATTTAAGAAAAATTCCCTTGTAGCGTTTCACTCTTGTAGTATATTGGCTATCAAGCACCAGAAAATTTCCATCGCGCATTCCATATGCTTCCGATTGTCGTGGATCAATTAAAATACTGTCATCACAGCTTTTTGGTACTCCAGCAACTGGTGTGTCTATTATAAGCGCATTGACACCGTACACATTTCGCTCTAGTGCTTATACTTACGGCTTTATATCGGCATCAAAGTAACCGTCTTCAAAAGCAAACAAAATAAGCTGTTTTCATTTGACATTTTATAAGTTAACATAATGGAAAGTGATAAAAATCTAATTTTATTCGGCATTATAAAATCGTGGCAAAGAAAAAGATCGATTATTATTAATCAGCTTTTAAATACTGATGCGATTATTTGGAATTTGAGCGGAACAGCTGACCTCCAATTCACTTTGAGTGAGAGCGGTGTTTATACACTCTTTCTAACTGTCTGGAGAAATAAACTACCGATTTGAAATGGAGTGTGAGCCAAAACACTTCGCTCTTTCAAAGCGAATTGAAATTCAGTTTATACATATGTTTTGAATCGCGGCGAAATGAATTAAAGCGACTTATGCATGCGTATAAACGTAGTAACTAAATGTAGGAATAGATTACAAGTAAAAACCCTCGGTTCTTTAATAAAAGCAAAATATTATATCAAATCTTCTCAAAGTTTTTGTCATGATGTAATGATACATACAGAGTCTTTAAACCAAAATGTGACTTACGATCTCACAGAAAGTGAAATGCTTGACTAATTTTTATTCTACTTTTAATATATGTATATATGTATATTTTTACTAAATGTTTATTTAAAAGGCGTTAAATAAATGTATATTTGTTTTAACATTCGTCTTTTTTGTGAAAGCGTCTAAAATTTTTTGTTGGTACATTTTTATTTGATTTGGTACATTTTTTTCTGACGTTTGGTACAATTGCGAAAAATTCATTTATCATCCCTATAATTTCTTTATCCCCGTGCTAGTAGTATAAAGTTAGTGACACTGCGCTTTATAACCAAAGAAAACACGATTATTGTCGCATGTGTAAACGAAAAGAGAGTGTGGGTCGTTCATGTAACAGAGTGCATAAACTTATAAGATTATCTGCTTGATAAAGTTATCGGTTTAGATGAATACCACTAATACTTTATTTAAACATAAGGGTTGTTCACAGTTCGAGTGTGTTATCTTGTTAAAGTTGCCACCTTTTAACTTTAGAAGTAAACTGTGAATACCCTAAGTGATGATAAAATTGCCACAATTGTGCTTTTTTGGTACAATTTGAAACCAAAAAGTACATTGACACCACATTGACCTTTTTGGTACAATTTGGAAATCCCGCGCGGGTATGTTTGGATTGGTTTTATATTTTCGTTTATTAAAAACGTCTACTTATTTATACAAATATTTTCTTCCTTCTCTACTTCGTACAAACTTGGATTAAATTTGTTTTACATTACAAGGTATAAAAAATAAACGAAAAATACGTTTTGGAACATGGATATTTTTTTTAAAAGGTAAGGCATCTATTAAAAACTTGGAAAATTATTTAAATATACCATTGTAATGTTTGTTATTGCCGAAAAACCGAAGGCGAAGCGGCAAAAGAAGATGACACAACACCAAATGGCCACAGAAATGAGTCGTGAGAGCATACATATTTTTAACTCAATAAATGACTTTCCTGCTAATGTTTAATTTTCTTGACGTTCTTTATGTGACAGAGATGACTGCAAAAAATATAAAATTCCTTTTCGTATACAATGGAAAGAAAAATATCCATGGTTAGAACGAGACGAGTCCCCTCAAGGAAAAAAGTGCGTAATATGCAGTTCACCGATTGTTGGAAGACTATATCACATCCAGCGCCATGCAATTTCCGAGAGCCATAAAAAAGCAGAGAAGCTGGCCCAAAACACTCCAAAGTTAAATGAATTTATTGCATCTAAGCGATCGTTCGACACTACAACCAAAGCAGCAAAATGCCTGGAGGTAAGACTCAGCTGTTTTGTAGCTGAGCATAACTTACCATTCGCGATGATGGATCACTTAAATCTGCTTTTAAAAAATACCATCACGGATTCGAAAATCATTAAAAAATGGCAGTTAATAGACTTAAGACTCAAAAAATTGTAAATGATGTCATTGCTCCACTGAACTCAAAATCAATTGCACGCCTTTGCAGTAATCAATACTACTCTGTCATCGTTGATGAGAGCACGGATATATCAGTATCAAAAAACCTGGCGGTCGTTATAAGATTGTTTGACAAAAAATGCATTGATCGATTTTTAGATCTAGTACCCCTAGAGAACAGCAGTGCTGAGACCATTTGCAATGCCATATTGCAAATCCTTAAAACGAACTCCATTCCTTCTGAGAATATGCTGGCATTCGCGGCAGATAATTGCTCTGTAATGATGGGTTCTATTAGTGGCGTGCAGGCTAGATTACAGAAAGTTATACCAAATTTGTACGTAAACGGATGTGTGTGCCACATATTGAATTTAGCGTCTTTTGCCGCCGACGAAACGTTTCCAAAAGAAATTGATTTATTTTTGAAAAATATTAACTACCCTTTTTTGTAATAGTTCTCTTAGAAGATCTGACTTCCAAAAATTTCAGGAATATTTTGGAACAGAAATGCATGTTATCCTGAAATTTTACACAACGAGATGGCTTTGTAGGCAAGCTGTTGTTGATCGCATATTAGAGCAATGGGATCCTCTCAAATACTATTTTACTTTATCGAATTTTGAAAACAATCAACGTAACGAAAATGTTTTAAAAATTAATGAAATATTTTGCACGCCTTTATATAAAGTTTATTACATATTTTTATCTTATGTACTAAAAATTATAAACTGCGTGAATTTAGAAATGCAATCTGAAGAAGCACGCATACATGTTTACATACCCAAACTGAAATCTTTAATTTATCAAATAGGTAGA